GCTATCAGAAATGAAAGTCCTAGAAAGCCCTTCAAATGACTCAAAATAGAGCCAAGGGATAATTGAAGGTTATTATTTTTAAAACTCATGCCAATATGTTAAAATTTCCACAGGAAGTAGTTGGTAAGCAAGGATTTCTCCAGCGGGGCTTACCACAGGTGCTAATCAGCTTACAGTATTTTTTTTTTGTTTTTTTTTTTAATGTTTGTGCTGAAAGGAGATTTAATTACCTCAATAGCCTCACTTCTTCATATACCTAAATAATGCATCCCCCCACTCTGTGGAGAAAAAACTAAATTTGAGAGAGAAAGGTTTAATGGGTAGCTAAAAATAGCACTGTAGTCTCCTTGAAAAGAACTCCCAGCACTCCCTATTCCTCCTTTTAGAAAGACCTTCCCTTTTCTGAAACTGCTAATAAATGGTTCTTGTCTCCTTGTGATTCTCTCCCTCATCCTACCTTTCCAGGTATTTTCAAAGACCATTGAAATTCATTTCCCTCCAATATTCATAATAGGTAATCTTATTGAAAATCCACTGGATCCTTGACAGAACAATGCCAGGAACTTGCCCATGAAATCTTAGTTTCCTAGAAGCCTTAAAAATGAGAACAGTGCCTTACAGCTTTTGGTATAAGATGGAAGGTTCTCTCCCCAGCACTGCAGGGTGCCCCAGTGGTCCAAGGGGCTCTCTTCTCAAGTGTTTCCCCAGGAATATGTGTTTCTCCATGTGCCAAAAAAAAAGACCTTGAAAGTGATTGCTAATTTCCGTCTCCCAACTTCAGTAGTTTGTTCACTCCCTGTCCTTCATGAAGTATTTTACATTGTGTAGTAGGTCTTCTCCACATGCTCTCTTCTTATTTTCTTGACTTTTTTTCTTACTTCTTCACTTGGTTCCCTGTCTTCCCTTTCTCATTATCTACTCATATGGCTTCTCTGATTCCTGAAGATATTCTCAAACCTATTTTCCATTTGACTCTATTTCTTGGGAAGAATACTCATTCTTCCAGTTTCAACTAAACGTCTATGCTGATTATTCTCCTATCTTTTCTCCTGTCTTCTTATCTGAACTAGAGTCCCAAGTCTCCAGTCCTACTTTGCATACCCACTTGCAATTCTCCAAACTAACACTAACTGGACAGGTCTGAAACCAAACTCCTTTTCTTGCCCTACAGATGACGTCCCCTCCATCTTCACTGCCAAAGAGCTCCAAGATCATTTGCTTCAAGGAACCCCCAGCCTGTCAGCTTGAGTCGTCTTTGATGAAACACGCTCTTTATCTCTACAATCAGGCACCAAATCAAGCATGTTTTCCCCTACAAATGGGAGTGTAGTGAAACCAGAAAGGCCTTGAAGCTAATCAGACCTGTGTCTAAATTGATCTAAGTTATTCACCATACCTTTGCATGAACTTGAATATATTATGTGACAATTAAGAGTTTCAGTGTTTTCACATGAGAAAAGAGGAAGATGCATATGATGGAGCTGCTGTGATGAGTAAAATGAATGAGTAAAATGAACATGCATTTTACATGTTTGGCATAGAGTAGGACTAAAAATATTCGTTGCTACTTGGGCCCCTTCTCATTAGAGCTGTTCCTTTCTTGAATTAGCACTGCCACAGTGTGTTCAAGTCTCTCAGTTCGATACACTTAAAATACCACCAACACAGCCCCGGTTCTTCACTTCATGGTATCCTGCTTTCCCCACACGGCCCTCCGTCCTTGATGAATACTGACAGGGTCAGAGAACTCCCTCACTCTAGATTCACTCCCCCTCTTTTTTTCCTGTATTAACTTGAAATGTTTTTGATGGTCTTTTTAGTTCCAGAAAGTTCCCCCTTTCTTTTGCCTTGACCCAAACTATTTTTCTCCATTTCCCCTTTCTCCTTAACCTAAGCCTTCTGTCCTAGTCCTCCAGGCTGCCCTCATCTCTTCCCCAAGGCTACATTGGTTTCTTCCCCTGAAACTTTAAGATCCTCCTATCTCTCATTTCACACCTCCTACTCAAAGAATAAATCTCCATCTCTTAGAGGGCTATGCCTCAACTTTCCAGCCTCCCACACCTCCCTCCAGCCCTTTTGGCCTGCCATCATGATTAATACCTAACAGCATCCTGAATTGTGTTTACTTGCTATTGTACTAGATGAGTGCTTAAAAGTTCTTGGGTTGCACATGCAAGTTAATATTTTAAAACCAAATCTTGTTACAAGCATTAGTTTTACTTATTTTTTTGCCATTGTAGAGACCTTTAAAAATCATTTGTGGTCCTCAGTTCACTTTTTAAAGGATATTTTACTGAAAATGGAGGGTAAAACATTAGGGGAAAAAAAGTTTAAATTGAATTAATATAGATTTATGAACAAATTCTTATTACCTTTATTTTCTTCATTTTGATGTGGAGAGAGGAAATTCTATCAGGAAAATTCTTAGACAGGCAATTGGGAACTTCCATAATTGTCTCTATACACCTACTCTTTCTGTGACATGTGTTAGTGAGATGCGGAGACTTCCTACTATGAACAAAGAATGTAACTGTGTTTGGGTCTCTGTGTACATGAGATAAGTATTACTGTGTTATTCCACAGATAGCAGAGCTAAGGCATAAGTAGCTTAGAACTTGCTCAACGACTCACAGCTAAATACAGTACAGAATTGAGATCAGACCCCAGTTATTTGGGCTCTCGTGTTCAGTTTTTTAAAAAATGTTTGTTTATTTATTTATTTTTAGAGAGAACGGAGTCCGGTAGGGGCAGAGAGAGGCAGGGAGAGAGAGAGAGAGAGAGAGAGAGAGAGAGAGAGAGAGAGAGAGAACCCCAAGCAAGCTCTGTGCTGTTAGCATAGAGCCCAATGTAGAGGGCTTGATCCCAGGATCCATGAGATCATGACCTGAGCTGAAATCAAGAGTCAGACATTTAACCAACTGAGCTACCCAAGTGTCCCTAGGCTTTTGTGTTCTTGACAACTATTCCATACTGCTGCCACTTCTTTAGACCCTATAGTATTAAGTATGGTCCTGTGCACAAAGCAAACACACCAATGTGTAGAATGATAATGACAGCTTTTACCATACTGTATTGCACCTGCAGGATAGAATAAATGGCCAGACACTTATCATCCAAGTAGACCATTTCTACATGTATTTATAAACTATAAAGTGCTATACAGATGTGAAATCAACTATAATTATTATAATTACCAATTGTTAACTGGAATTCCACAAGTCTAGGTTGCCTTAGATTATCAAAGAAGAGTAAATGAAAATACTGTCAAGATTATTTCTAAGGAAGTCCCACTGGCAAGAATGCTTTAAGATGACAACATTAACTCATTTACAGTAAAACTTTGTGGAAATTACAGTTTAAAATGATAATATTTCATAATATTTTACTCTCTTATTGTTGTCTATCAAGTGTAAGGTAAGGGACCGCCCTAAACAAAATGGTGATGAATGTCTTAAGCACACTCCTCTTTTCTTTCATTACCTTTCTTTCTACCTTCAGATATACTTTACCAGAACCCCCAACCCTTCCTTCTTTGCCTCTGTTCTATAAGAACCTCTTAGCCAGGGGCTCCACTAGAATGCATCTAATTGACAACTTTATACTTTGGGGTGTGTGTGTGTGTGTGTCTGTGTGTGTGTGTGTTGTAATAACAAGTTATTGAGGTATCAAACCATAACCCATGGGATAAATACCTAATGGGAATATTTCGGAAATAAGTGCTAAGCCTGTTACAGAGATATTCAAAGCAAAGGATATCACATTGGTGGCCCTTAATTTAGGTGACAATCAGTTTCTCCAACTGGTAAGGCCAATCATAGATGGTAATGAATGATCCTGAAGGCACAATCTCTCTCAGTACCTCTAATAGTTATAAAAGTCTTCTATCCCAGTAATTCACTAAAAGGAGTTCCCCCCCCCAAAGCGCACTGCTTTTGTACATAGTTACCCTTCTCCCTAACTCTATGACTTTCTTTCATTTCGTGATCATGCCTTCTGCTTTCTATCGCCGACATGAAACAACAGGAGCAGAGACAAGTCACTTCACAGAGACAAGTCACTTCACAGAGAGCTCCTGTGTCTAAGCTAAGAAATGGTTCTGAATTTATACTCTCAAGGATCTGCTAAGCATTCCTACTCAAGTCTGTAAGTATATTAGGGCCTGGTTTTCATTCTTTCTTTGATGAAGAAGAAAAATAAAATGACCCTAACACATTCAACACCTCTAGAATTCTGTGGTTCTGTAATACATGGTATTTTTCCATGTAAAGATGAAGCCCTAGACAGAGAAATATAGTATACTCTTCATTAACTAAAAGCCACTAAAGGGAACTAAAATTTCCCTTTTTAATAATGAACTAAAAGATACTGGGAATGCTTTAAAACTCCTAGCATAATTCATAAAGAGGTGTGGAAGACTTGTAATGTGTCTGGTCAAAATACATATGGGTGAATAACCACATGAAAAAAATTCATTAATCAATATTCACCCAGAGCAGTGTTTCCCAAATTGTATGGCTAAGATACAATTTGTTAGTTAGCAAGAAGTGCTTTTAAACAGGTGGTTGGGCCCTGGAGGATCAGTTAGACTTAACGACTTGCTTCCAAAGAATAGAGTGATAATATTTATTACTATGATGGAAAGCTAGAAATAATAATTTTACAGTAGGGAAACCCTGAGTAATACTACTTAACCAAATGACCAAGGTTAAAGTCACCAGTGATGGCTCATGTTGCAGTGTGCCTTTAAATTTTGCATCAGATGGGCCCGCCGACCACATCCTAGTATCAAGTCCTCTGATTGGTCAGGCCTTCAAAGCCCTGCCCCCAAGTCAAACAATAGTTCCCTCTGTAACAGCTGCTTAGCTAAGGCATGGCGACATAGTCCGTTGGTCAAGAGCCTGATGAGAGAGGCCTCGGACTACATCATCTTCCAACTCTAGGTAGGCAAGAGGCCAATACCAATCTCACCATTACTCAGCAATGGCCTGGGCCCAGAGAAAATGGAAGAGCCTAATCCAAGAGATTTCAGAGCCGGTCGGGACGACAGAGGTGGTGCCAGTGGCGGTGGTGGTGCCAGTGGCGGCGGTGGTGGCAGAGGCGGTGGCAGTGGCGGCGGCGGCAGCAGAGGCAGGGGCAGAAGCGGCAGGGGCAGGAGCTGCTACGTGGAGGTCTTCGGCCCCCGAGAACCACCTCTGTGCTTTAAATTAAATAACAACATGATTGGTGTGGTAATTGGTCGTGGTGGATCCAAGATAAAAGACATCCAGAGTACGACCAGCACCAAAATACAGATCATGAAAGGCGATTCTGAAGCAGAGGTGAAAATTTTTGGTACCAAGGATATGAAAGCAAAGGCCAAGGCGGCTATAGAAACTCTCATTAAAAAACAAGAACGAGGGTTGCCTGGGTGGCGCAGTCGGTTAAGCGTCCGACTTCAGCCAGGTCACGATCTCGCGGTCCGTGAGTTCGAGCCCCGCGTCAGGCTCTGGGCTGATGGCTCGGAGCCTGGATCCTGTTTCCGATTCTGTGTCTCCCTCTCTCTCTGCCCCTCCCCCGTTCATGCTCTGTCTCTCTCTGTCCCAAAAATAAATAAAAACG